AACGGTCAAATCCGCCTATAAAATGCTTCGACCCAAACGCCAATTGAGGGATACAGTGAATGATAGATGGGCCAAGCATTTGAACCTCGACCGCTCTCTCCTGACACCGATTCAATGGTTCAAGGAACAAAAGCATAAGCCAATGAAAATTACCTCGCTACAATGGCAGACAGCTCACCGCTGCCTGCCAACTAACGATTGGTTGATTGACCGGACAAACCTTGAACAAAGAGGCCTGCTGCTCCCATGGTGCCAGCGATACCAGAGCCTCTTCCCCTTCCACAAGAAGGCAGAAACCATTGAACACATCTTCATGCAGTGTCCGATCGCCCAGTTCATATGGAGATGGTGGGACCGTATCTGGCGGAAGATGGAACCAGACAWYCCCTGGCCCTRGTCATGGCAARCCATTYTMGCCGGACACTGGCCCCARAYAGAGACTGCCACGCCCTTCACCGAAAACATGTACAGAATAGGAAGAAGGGCAGTGATGTGGGCACTTTGGTGGCAAAGATGCACTCTAACCATGGAAAAAGTACGGGTGGAAGGCGCGGAGATTACAGAACAAATTCAGCAGCAACTTCGCCTACATCTCACACGCAGATGGTTAGATGCAAAAGAACAACTGGATCTTTTTAAACAAATAAGAGATGTCAAGAGAAGCATAACGGATTTTTGCAAGAACTGGCTGGGAGAGGAAAGGGAAGGGTGGATTGCAAAAGTAGTATGGGGCGGGGATCAAGAGGACGGGATAAAAAACCTAGAAGAAATGAGGGACTACAGGCTGGTTTTCAAGGATTGGACTAACATTGAGGCCTCGTTTCCATTACGCCCCCCCACGGAGTTCCCGGACCCCTTCCCCCCCCATGCCCTGTCACTCGCGGAAATGGTGATCCCGGCCTGAGCGGCAAATGATATCCTGTCCTTTCCCCACCCACCTGACACCCACCTGACACCCGCCTCCCCCATGTTTCCTGACTCTTTCATCCCTGGCCACGCGAGGAACCGCTCCCTGGAGCCCCCCGGGGAGGATCCCGCTCGCTCATCAGATACAGACAGCAGGGACAATCAGCAAGTCAGCAAGTTGGCGACAGCGGGGACAGGCAGCAAAATGGCGACGACAGCCGGCAAACCCAACCAAGGGAGATGACAAGTACAGATGACAGTCGCAGATTCAAGCAAGCAGGGATAGTTCCTACTAGTA